AGCATCTGTCTCATCTACTGCGAAATGCCCAGGATCCTTTATAACATATGGCATATAATAGGCACTCAATAAAAGTCTATTGACTGAGATGAATACCTGCATGAGACTGAGTACTTATTGAAAGAATCAATCTTGAAGGACAGGGTGTGACCATTTACCCAGCCCATGCTAAAGAATACTGACAGACAGGGTTGGCCGAGTGGCTCAGTTGGTTAAGAGTGGGCTTGGGAGGCCGGCAGCAGGTGAGAGCCACTGTGAGCTGCTGTCCAATGGCTGGTGACTGACTGCCTCACCCAGGAAGAGCACAATGATCATAATACCAACACGGGCCAGTGGGGCTGCATCCTCCACAACTAGACTGAAGAACAAAAGGGCAGCAACTTGTCTGTTCCCCTTCCCCGATTCCCCAGCGCTGTTCCCTCCCCCAGTTCCCCAATAAAAATATTTGAAAAGGAAAAAAAAAAAAGAAGAATACTGCAGAACCAACAGTAACAAGAAAATGTCTTACCTCTTTGTTCTCGTAGCTCTCCACAGCAAAATCATTTTTGACCACAACATATCTCTCCTTCCATTTCTTTATATCTTCAGCAAACTGTGTTAGTTCTGCTTCATACAAAACAGTTCCTGGCTCCAACGGTGGCTTAAAGAAGATGAATACAATTAATTAGCACAACAAAACACAATATGCCATGCTACCAGTAAGTCTGTCCATGGCATTTCAAGGAATGTTTTGGAAACTGTCGTGTGTGCTGAGATCCTGCAGGAATTGTTGCTTCTTTCCCTCCTTCCACACTTTCCTTCCCTACTTCTCCTGACAAAATGCAAAACATTTGTCTTATTGACATTTTTGTGATTTTCATTGCCCTCCATTATGCTACAGGAACAGAGGCAGATGGAGGAAGGGGTTATAGTATAAGATGATGCCTGGCATACACACGGCACTTAATAAATCCTTGATAAACTGTGGAGGAGAGGGAGTGAAGCAGTGAAGCATAAGCTGTAGACATCTATCCCAACACCCTGAATATGCCTCAGGGCTACGTCCTGAAAAACAGGAGGGTTAACAGGCTAGTCCCCTATTCACCACACCTCGAGGCAGTGCTCAATGGTTTTCCCAGACCCAAAAGCCCAAACACTTAACCCATCCCCTTGTTTCCCAAGGAGACCATGTTAGCTCTCCAATGAATACACAAGCAGGTAAACCTCAGTTCTACCATTTCTACTTAGAAGTTTGAAGGTTTGTCATTAACCCTGGTGTCATCCGTCTCTGTGTGATTCCTAGTTAGGTCTTTCACTGGGTTAACTGTGTAAGGGATAATTCCCATCCTGCCCCACGGTGCAATTCCTGTATTAACTCAAAGGGTAGGAATGGGCCTGCTGTCTTTCACATGAATTTACATCAATTTTCCCTTTATTAAAAAAATCAGTTTCCACCTGCACACTGCAGAGCAGGGACTGCTCACCTCCCCCTCTCCTCTGCAGGCACCACACCAGCCTGCTGCTCTGAGGCAGGCAGCGAAGGTAAATGGGTCTGGCTTCTCTGACATTTCAATAAGATTTTTGTGTAATTTGATGGAGGTCATACTTTTATTTTGAGTGAGAAGAATCTTATTTTAAAACCCATGTCTGTGAATTACCATGTTTCTTCTGAACTAGGAGGCAGGGTTTACAAGCAGGAAAGACATTGTA